ATTTGTATAGACTCATGAATGAACTGACTCTTGTGTGATTCCTTGTACTAGGAATAGTAAGTAGTATCTCCTAACTGACTCTTGGCCCATATGGTAACAACCACATGAGTTTACGGCCCAAATACCATTTCCTCGTGATTTTATGGCCATAAACTCATGGTACTAAGTGTCAAGTTGTGATTTAAGGTCTTTTTAAGTCAATATGAAGTATTCTATGATCAAGTCTAAGCCCTAGGAAGGAATGGTGGCATCATTGTACCACTAACTAGTGTTCACAGCCTAAGGACCATTTCCCCATGAGTTTACGGACGTAAACTCATGGTACCATGTACCAAATCAAAATTTAAGGTCCCTAGCTTATGATAGAAATGTTCTAGACTTGATCATAAGGCTTGAGAAGAGATTAGGTCTCATTTGGACCCTTAAATAGAGTTTACGGCCCAAGAAGGTTCCTTGGCCGTAAACTCCCTTTTGATTATGATTTCTTGATGACTTCTAAGTGTAATATAGTTGATTTAAGCATAGAACAAGCTAAGACAATAGTACTTATTGTGTAGAAGCTTGAAAATGTGCTTAAGGCTCAAGAACACTAGTGTGTGTTCTTGGTGTTCTTGGTGAAATGAAGAACACTTGATTATCTATCAAATGAAGAGATTTCATGGATGAAATCATTCACAAACACTAGATAAGTTTACTAACAAATCAAGGAAGAAAATACTTACTAAGTTGAAGATCTAGTGATGATACTTGAGAGAGAATGAGGTTAAGGACTTGAAAATGGTTGAAAATGACAAACATGGCTAAGTGTCACTTATATAGTCCTTAGGGTTTACGGCCCCAATACCATTTGGGCCGTAAACTCCAAACTCTTGGAGATTTGGAGCTTAAATGTTTCATACTTTACCCTAAAGTATCCTCTCTCCAATTATCTCTTGCAGTACTAGGCTTTAGAACCCTCAAACTGACTCCAAAACTGCTAAAATTTAGCAATTGAAAGTTTAACTTTGATTGAATGCAGAGATTGTTATAAGATAGAAATTTTGAGTTGTCACAGTTAACCAATTTTTTAATCCATACAACACCTGATGAGGGAAAAAATACGCAACTTATTCGCCCCGGGACAAGTTTTTTATAACAACAGACAAATTACAACCCAATTGGATAAATTGTAATGGTATTTGAATTGGATAACTTTTCTTTAACGAACTACCATTTCTTGTTCATATGAAAGTAAGTTGCTATTTTAAATATAAGATTTGTGATCCACAAATCCGAATAATTTTCAAAGCTGCAGTTTTATACTTGATAGGTTATTTCCCAATCGTAAATAATTGTTTTGTTCTAAATCCAAGGCAATGAACATGTTACCTAATTATAGCAGCATGGTTAGATCAAGATATTTGATTAACAACTTATTTTAAAAGTGCTATGCTGTCCGTTTTTGATAATATCCTTGTAATAAAACTGCAATTTTTAACCCAAAGAACTGTTTACTAGACAGGATACCATTTCATTTTATTTTTAGCTTTTTGCTTATGTGGTAGTCGAAATGATGATGATGTGGCAAACAATACCACATTTTCAAATAACACAACATAAGTAAAAAAAAAAAAGTTCAAAAAAGAAATCAACGGATTTTATGCTAATAAATGGATATAATTCTCAGACTGTAATGACTAATTATTGAATATTTGAAAGTGTAATGCTATAAAAATCGACAAAAAAGTGGAATATTGTGGCATAAATTGGTAAATGTGTGAAACAATACAACCTTTCTTTTTATCATCCACGTGGTGTCATGCTAGGCACAAATGGGATGGTTTGGTCATTTTGGTGAAGTATGGTGGACCCCTGCAGCAAAAACAGCAAATTAACAGCAACAACAACATTAGTTGGCACCACTCACCTTAACTAAATAACATAACAGTGCCTACCTAAAAATACCATTATATACTTTATCTTTACACTGTTAATAATTTAAGGGACTAAATTGCCAATAGAACAAACTTTAGTGTCAAAAATTTGAACCACTAAAAATATGAAAACTTATGGACCAATTTTGCCAATCCTTTAGGAACTTTACTCTTCCTAAGGGATGCACAACTTATATATATAATAGACAAAATTGTAAGAATAATCCCTGTGGTATGTCAAAAATTGCCACTTTGGGCCAAACAGGTTTTGACTAGCAAAAATGGTCCAAAAGTTTCCACTTCGTTGTTAGTTTGGTCCATTTTGATTTAATTTTTATAAAATGACAATTTTGCCCTCTATATTTTCTTTTTTCATTTTTTTATTACAAAAATAAAATAAGAAAAGAAAAAAATACCCTTTCTCTCTTTCTCTCTCACTCACTCACACACACACTATCTCTCTATCTCTCTTTATCTCTCTCGTTTCTTGCTTACCACCAACAAAAGAAGAAGAAATCGGCGATTATCGCCGGACTTGGCTGCTCCTCCGCCTCCACCGGTCAGGTAGCATCGCCCCAAACACCAGCTTCAATCGTTGATGCCCTCCTTTTGAACCTCGACAGCCTACAACGAGAGAAAGGAGATCAATATCTGAAGTTAGGGTTTCTTGGCGGCTAGGGTTTTCAAATGGGTGTTTTGCTACTGGAAATCGAGACGAAGACACATGCGACGTACTGCTCGATGAAGCTAGGGTTGTTTAAACCCACGACGAGACCCTTAGCAAAACCGGATTTATGACGAACACTACCTAGGTCTAGTTTCAAACACCACCTCAGATTTGTGCGAGAGAGGAAGAAGAAGAATAAGAAGAAGAAGAAAAATGACTTTTTAGATCAGTGTGTGCGTGAGAGAGAGAGAGAGATAGAGAATTGATTTTTGGGTTGTGTGTGTGTGTTTAATCTTTGTGTGTGTGTGTGTGTGTTTGTGTCGAATCTGTTGAAAAATCGATGGATGTTTTGTATTGATTTGTTTTTGTGTTCTTTAGATTTCCTGTGTTTGTATGTTTATCTGATTTCGTGTGTGTTTGTTCATCTGTGGGTGGTGGCAGATGGTGGTGGTGGTAGCAGACTGTGGTGGTGGCGGACGGTGGTTGAATGGTGGTAATGGTAGATGTTCTTGAGTGTTCTTGAGGAAGAATAAGAAGATGGGTAAGAAGATGTGTCTAGGATAAATAACATGAGAGAGAAAGAGAGAAACAAGAGAAAGGGGGAACGAGAGAGAGAGAGAGAGTATTTTTTTTTTTTCTTTTCTTCTTTTACTTTTTGTAATAAAAAATGAAAAAAAAATGGGCAAAATCATCATTTTATAAAAAAAAAAAAAAATTAAAGCATAATGGATTAAACTAGCAATAAAATGGAAATTTTTGGACCATTTGTACTAATCAAAACCTATTTGGCTCAAAGTGGTAATTTTCGATATACCACAAGGGACCATTCTTACTAATTTTTTCTTTATAATATGTGGACATTGGAATGCTCCTATTTTTGAAGCTATTTTATGTTTAAAAAAATTAGCATGTAAAATTGGTTGTGAGATGATTAGATGTAATATCAATTATTTGTTCATAGGGAATGTAAATCCAATCATGTTTGTTTTCTAATGTGCAAAGATCATAATCAATTACTTATTTTACTTATCAAATTATTTCTTTCACAGTTAATTAGCAATTTAGCACTAGTTGTTTAACACTAGGGATGACATATTGGGTCATCGTGTTGTGTTTTTTTCTGACACGACATGGTTTTATGTAACACGAACACACAACACGATATAATGTCGTGTTTTTTTTAACTAACATGAAAACAAATCGATTAAAAAACGGCAAACACGACATGATACGACAAAGATAACATAATAAAAAGATTAGTTTATTTAATTAATATTTACTCATACATAACACGACAAACACAGAAAACACGAAAAATAAATGCTAAATCGTGTCAATTTCGTATCGAATTTTAAACACGAACACAAACATGATACGAATACGAATTCAAATTTCAATTTCGTTCCAATTTCGTTTATATTTTTTTCCGAAACGTGTCAACAATTGTCTAAGGTAGTGTTTGTTTTTTGTCTGCAGATCTGCGAGACATCTTCTGTCTGCGCCGCGCAGACCACGCGCAGACATTAGTCTTCGCAGACTGTTTGTTTTTTTGAAGACTGCAGACCTAAAAATGTCTGCGCGCCCTCTTCTTGGCGCAGATGTGGACCAGAGTCTTCTAACATCTTCAGACATCTTCTAGCTTAAAAAAACATATATATCTTTATTTTTTTTAAGTTTTTTTTTAATTTATATTTTTTCCAAAACAATATGAAAAAAAAATTACAAAACTTAAAAAAAAACATTTGACGATACAAACATGATATTTTTAACAAATTTATAAATAAAAATTTATTATAATAATAGTCGTTGAAGTTGTTTATATAAATATGAAAAAAAAAATCATAATATATTCTTATATTTTTTTGCCAAAATTTTGTAAAACTTTATTTAATAGAGTATCATCAATTTCTCGAGAAAATATTTATTGTACGTTTTTAATAGATTTATTTGAAAAAATCGAAGTTTATTTCCATCTATTTATGTATCAAATTCTTTGATCACTAATTATAATGTTTAGTTATCACTTTGCAATCAAATTTGTTGGTTTTTATCAAATATGTATATGAATTAATACCATTTTTATTTTTATTTTTTATATAATAATACATAAAAGTTGATCTAGATTCGTTATATATTTATAATAAAGTCGTAAAAATATATAAAAAATTCGCTTTGAAGTTTTAAAAAATCAGTTTATTTAGATTTCAGTTTATTTTAATAGCCCGCAGATGTTAAAAAAACAAACAGTCTTCTTTTTTCAGACTGCAGATGTTTGGTCCACCTCTTCTACTGCAGAGGTCTACAGATGTGATCCGCAGACTGCAGACATTTAACACCCCCGTACTGCAGACATTTAACACGGTATCCTTGATGAAAAAATCTCTCATGTAACGAATCGATTAGCCGAACAATTTGGCTAAATGTTCGGTTGTTGTCGAGCCCTTATCATTAGAGTGAAATGGATTGGATTGGGTGCCGACCTTCAAAATCTGTATCCAAAGTCCAAACAGCAACACTACAAAGCAAAGCCAAGCCCGTCACGTCAGTACTCAGTATATACGCAGCATTTTCAATTTCAACCCGTGTTGATACTCCCAAGAAAAACTACACTCGCTGACTCAATCCATATCTTTCTCCTTGCGATTTTCAGACGAAACTTGTTTTCTTTTTTCTTTTTCCGTCCAAGATGGCTCTGAATACGGATGAGCTTGTAGGAAAACCGAATTCAGCAATTCAATTTGACACCGATGCCTTGTTTCGCTACTGTTCTATTCATGTTGAAGGCTTCCCTGTTTCTTCCTCCAAGTTTTCCATTTCCCAGGTTAATTTTGCTGTCCTTTAATCCTGATGAATGATGATCACCCCTAACCCTCTTCGTATTTTGTACTTACAAATTAGTATCTTATCCAGTTTTCAGTTATGAGGTAGTGTTGGGTATATGCTTTTGTTTTATTTCTGTCACGAAAGCACAACCTTTTGTCGGTTCATGCTATTTGATCGGATTTGTTATCAAAAAATTTAGGGAAATCCAATAGAATACGACCGATTAATCTCTCTTACAGACCTTATGCGTTTTCAATGAGGTGATTTTGTGAATTCGAATTAGAAGGCGTAGGGCTTTGTATGAATCAAATGTTGATCTCTGATGAAATTACCGCTTTGCATAGATTTTTACAAGATTAGGAGTGTTTAACCCTTGTTATGCTCCATCGAGAGTTGAAAAACTGGAATAGATTAGAATTAACGAAGTGACAATCCCTCGTAATCGTATTATGATTTAAACTTTAAAGCCACTTTTCTTTCCCGGTATCTTTTCCTCCAAATTCAAATTTGAAATTCATCCTTCCACTGTTTCTTATCTACTACTTCTTGTTGATCAGTTTGGGCATGGCCAGTCAAATCCAACATATCTTCTAGAACTTCAGTCAGGGGCTCTATTGAAGAGGTATGTTTTGAGAAAGAAGCCCCCTGGAAAGCTCCTCCAGTCTGCTCATGCTGTTGAAAGAGAATTTCAGGTCAGTTTTGTCAAATCTTTTCATTTCAACCTCAAAAATCCGATTTATCTCATATTTATCATTCAATTTTTTAATACAACAGGTGCTTCATGCATTAGGTACTCATACACTTGTTCCTGTCCCCAAAGTCTTCTGTTTATGTACAGATTCAAGTGTAATTGGAACTCCATTCTACATCATGGAGTTTCTGGAAGGACGCATATTCTTAGACCCTATGCTACCTGTAAGTATCTGTAATCTGTATCATAACCTCTAATTCATCTCCAAAATCTTTAATCACATTGTTCTTAATAAATCTCCATTGATTTTATTTAGGGAATAGCACCCAATAGAAGGCGAGCTTTATACCATGCTACTGCTAAAGCTTTAGCTTCTCTTCATTCTGCTGATGTTGATGCTATTGGTCTTGGAGATTATGGTAGACGAAACAACTATTGTAAACGACAGGTATATTGAATTTTTATTTATTTTTACTCAAAGAGATTATGATTTTTCTTAAATGATGTATATATATCAGGTGGAAAGATGGGCAAACCAGTACATTGCTTCTACTGGTGAAGGAAAATCTGAAAGAAACCCTAAAATGTTGCAACTTATTGGTTGGTTGCGTGAGAATATTCCTTTTGAAGATTCTTCTGGAAGCACAACAGGTCTTGTCCATGGTGATTTTCGGATTGATAATCTTGTTTTCCATCCTGTTGAGGTGTGTTTCTTTGAAGCTTATAATCGTTCATTTTTTATATAATTTTATCAGAACGTATTTCTTTTGTTTGTGTATTTAATACTTTGTAGAATTTTGGAAATGCAGGATAGAGTGATTGGGATTCTTGATTGGGAGTTGTCCACTCTTGGAAACCAGATGTGTGATGTTGCATACAGCTGTCTGGTAAACCTGTTATTTTCACTATTAGGATATCATACATGATACATAACAAAACATTTTTAGCCAAAAGTAAATTACCATTTTGTCCTTCCATCTGGCAGTTTTACGTTGGAGATATTTCACATGAGAAAGTTAAACATAATGGAGGTTTTGAAATGGATGATGCTCCTCAAGGAGTTCCTTCATTGGAAGAATATCTTGCAGACTATTGCTCTGCTTCTGTAAGATCATTATTAAAAATGTTTGACTTTTGTAGGTCAACTTATATGTATATAATCTTTCCCTGATTATTAATTTATAAATTAATTCTAGGGAAAAGCATGGCCTCTTGCTGGATGGAAGTTTTATATTGCATTTTCGTTTTTCCGTGGTGCTTCAATCTTGGCAGGTGTCCACAGTAGATATATTATGGTATGCATGATTTATTTTTATAAAAGTAGAACAATAAAATAAATGCTAATTGTGTGTTGGAGTATTTGAAATGACTCAAGGAATCATGAATTCCATTCCAGGGAAACGCATCTGGTGGAAAACGTGCACAAGATGCAGGGGAAAAAGCCAATGATCTTATACAAATTGCCTGGTCTTATATCCAAAGGGAATCTGTTTTGTCACAAAATCCTCCATCTGGTAACTCCATTTTCTTTTATTTGAACTTGGGAGTGACTTTTCTTGAATAGTTTATTTTGTTTATATTTTGTATAATCCACCTTAATGGATCTTTCTTCCTTCTAACTTTCTAGTTACAAGAGGAAGAGATTATGTATCTTCCATTGCAAATAACAAGAAGTATGAAGAATTGGAAGAGGGAGGTGGAGGTGGAGGTGGATTTGTTCCTAATAAAAAAATTAAGGATTTAAGAGAAAAATTAATAAAGTTTATTGAGGAACGTATATATCCAATGGAGCAGGAGTTCAGCAAGCTTGCTCAGTCTTCAATGCGTTGGACAGTTCATCCACAAGAGGAAAAATTAAAGGAGATTGCAAAGCAACAAGGCCTATGGAACCTTTTTATACCTGTAATATGCCTTTTCCCACTAGATTTATTTATAAATTTCTTGGTAAATTATAGAAAAACCAACATATTTTGAGTAAACTTTCAGACATTTATGCAAGTTAACCATTTTGACCCGATATAACATGTCAAAAAGGTTAATTTGGAAAAATGTCTGAAACTTCTATGGTTTGATTGGAAAAAATAAAGTATTAGTTGTTAAACAATAGAATGGTTTTTTTTTTCTTTTTCTTTTATATGCCAAATTAAAAGCGACAGACATATTTTATTTAAATCATTATTTTGTTACCAGGTTGATAGTGCTGCAAGGGCAAGAGAAGTTCTTTGTGAAGGTAGAAATGATGATGTCATCGGAGGATTTCCTAACCAATTGGGTGCTGGGCTTTCAAATCTTGAATATGGATACCTTTGTGAGATAATGGGTCGTTCTGTATGGGCCCCACAGGTGTTCAATTGTGGGGCCCCTGATACCGGAAATATGGAGGTAAATAAAAATTGTATATTTTATCATAACTAATATTATGGGACGATTTTAAATGTTTATATTATTTTTGATGTTAGGTATTATTACGGTATGGAAGCAAAGAACAGCTTCAAGAATGGCTTATTCCATTGCTTAATGGATCAATCCGGTCTGGATTTGCAATGACAGAACCTAAAGTTGCTTCATCTGATGCAACTAATATAGAGTGTTCTATAAAAAGGTTTTTTTTATAGTTATAAAAAGTTATGAAAAATTATTAGTGTAGATTATAATGAAATTTAATAACATGAACAGAGAAGGCGATACTTATGTTATAAATGGAAGGAAATGGTGGACAAGTGGAGCCATGGATCCGAGATGTAAACTTCTTATACTTATGGTTAGTTCCAAATTTCTCTTGATAGCTTAATGAATTCATGCAACTTTTGAAGCTTAAATTTGATTCTTTTTTATTTTTTTTAATTTATGCAGGGGAAAACGGACTTCAATGCCCCAATTCATAAACAGCAGTCCATGATTCTTGTGGACATAAATACCCCTGGTGTAAAAATAATAAGACCTCTCACAGTGTTTGGATTTGATGATGCACCTCATGGACATGCAGAGATTACATTTGAGAATGTTCGTGTCCCGGTTAAAAATATTTTGTTGGGGGAGGGTCGAGGCTTTGAGATTGCACAGGTAATACAAAAGCCCTCTTTTTTAGGTAGTGTTGTGGATACTTTTTTTTTTTGTTAATTTCTTTTTTATTTTGTGTATTATGCAGGGAAGGTTGGGTCCAGGGAGGTTGCATCACTGTATGCGATTAATAGGTGCAGCAGAACGAGGGATGCAGTTAATGGTTCAAAGAGCTCTTCAAAGAAAAACATTTGGAAAATACATCGCTCAACACGGCTCCTTTGTTTCTGATTTAGCCAAGGTACTTAATTAATTATATGTATCTGTTATATAATATATATTTTTAAAAAAAAAAAAGTACATTTGCCAATATTGATATAGCAATAGTAAAGAAAGTACATTGCTATTTTGAATCCAGTGTCGAATCGAGCTAGAGAGAACCAGACTGTTAGTTTTCGAAGCCGCAGATCAACTTGATCGCCATGGAAACAAGAAAGCCCGTGGGACCCTCGCAATGGCCAAGGTAACAATTTGGTAATTATTTTTAATTTTTTTTTGGGTGTGTGATTTTGATTTCGTTGTTGTGGGACAGGTGGCGGCTCCTAATATGGCGTTGAAGGTGCTGGACATGGCGATGCAAGTGCATGGTGCAGCAGGGGTATCGGGGGACACTGTTTTGTCCCTTCTTTGGGCTCAAGCCAGGACTCTAAGAATGGCAGATGGTCCCGATGAAGTTCATTTGGGGACAATTGGGAAATTAGAACTAAAAAGGGCCAAGCTTTGAATATTTTTTATATAAACTAATATTTGTGCAACTTGTCAAGTATAAGAGCTAGAAAAAATAAAGGGAAGATAAGTGGTTAAATCCAATGCAACATGGTAATAGATTGGTAATGTGCAACTACTTACATCACATGTCTTTACTATAGACATTTGACAAGTTTCAGGTTGTGTATTATTATTATTATTATTATTATTATCATAATCATAAACAATAATGAATGCATCATTGCAATTATGGCATAACATCGGGGCAACATGTCTACTTGCGATTATGTACAACTGGAGGTGGAGGTAAATTTGCAACTAAATTTTTTTATCAATCTAGTTAGAACAAGAATTAGATCAACTAAGCATATCCATTAATTTATTAATGATAGTGGACCCAATCATTCTTATACGAGTTCAATGTTGGTTTCTTGATTTGTGAATGAGTAAGATCAATAGAAGCATCTGGGTGTGGCTACATGCTCAAATTTATTCTCAATGGCCTTAAAACGTTATCATACCCCAACAATGAAAGGAGTGAATCTCATCTTGACTATATATGTAGCGTATGCATTGTGTAGTTAGAAGTTTTAACAATTAGTGGTATCTCTATATATAAAAAACTTATTGTAAACTAAATTGTTAAATTAAATTAAATAAAAGTATTTGATTTAAACTTCAAAACAGCTAATTTAATATAGTTAAAATTAAAATGTATTTAATTAATTAGATGATATAAGTCGAAATCTTTAACAATAAGAACTAAAGAATAATATTTAAATAATCTTTAACAATAGGAACTAAAGAATAATGTTTGAATAAGTCCTTTTAATTAGGATAAGGACTTATTTATAAGAATTTTATCATCTGATGTTAAGTGGGAGTAAACAAACTAAAAATATCATTTAAAAGGTTATCTTTAGGTTAAATAGAAAATTTAAACATGTAAAGGTCAATTTTGTAAACTTAGATATTACTTGTTTTTAACTTAGTTAACTAGATTTGACATATCATTTTTGTTTTTTTGGTAGAAACATAAAAAAAAAAAAAAAAAACATAGAAATTACCTTTACTATCTTTAACTTCCAAGTTATGATGCGATACATTCTTTCTTCAAATTTGATATTCGTGTTAACTATGCAATTCACCAAAATGGCAAAGTTCATATCCTACAATACGATATATGATGCTTTAGGGCCTATGAAACTTTTTTTCTTAAATGAAGGATATTAATTAAAAAATATGAGTGTGTAATGTTGACTAAAATTTTTGATCGTTTATGAATGATGCTGTCTAGATCAAACCTAATAGTGATCGTATATGATTACACGGTTGTTAAAATCTAATAGTGATCGTATATGATTACACGGTTGTTAAAAATAGTGTATAATGAAATAATTCAACAATTAATTTCAAAATTAAGAAAAATAACTGTAAATTCTCAAATCTTAGTTTTAATATATACTAATTGTGAGACTCATGTATTACATGGATTAATTTAAACCAAAAATTTAAATAAATATAAGAAAACTAATCAGCTTTAATTTTGGGAATTTTAAGTTAAAAGGTAAGTTCATTAATATAATTGATATCAATTTATTACTACATTTATTGCAATTATTATATTAAAATATTATGTAAAATTTAATAAAATACAAAAACTCATAAAATGACGTGTGGAAAGAAAATAATTCAAAATAACCACAAAATGACATTTGACAAATTGAATGAGAGTGTGACAAATGATAAAAAAACATTCATTAATTAGTGAGGGTATATATATATATATATATATATATATATATATATATATATATATATAAACTATTATGAAAGATTTATTATAATTAACATATTTTTATATTTTTGGAAATTTACTAACTTTTATATGATTATTTTTCATGATAGAATTCATAACAATCAGCAATTAATGCTGAAATTAATGTCTATTTCAAATTACATTGAGATATAATAAGCATGCACTATTTATATATAAACAAAGCTTTGACTTAATTAGTTTATATATATATATATATATATATATATATATATATATATATATATATATATATATATATATATATATATATATATATAACGATTAAAAATATATATTATAAAAATCAATGTTGACAGTTAATGCCTATAAATGAAATGTTATTGTCTATATATAATATGTTGTATAGCATATAAATGATATGTTATAATTGTCTATATATAATTATATTGTTATAATACAAAATTTTGACAACATCTCTTATGAAGTCTGTACCAATGACCGTTACGAAAAACAATTGGTGTTCATCATATATAATAATATTTCATGGTAAAAAAATTAATTACAAGAATCAGTCTCTACATTGTGCATTTTTTGAAAAAAAAAAAAATAGCATCATTGTCATCTTCGTCATGGTGATTTCAAGTTTGCTGAAAAGCGCATAAGATAAGGCTAAAGAAGGTATATTTATTTATTTGGGTTTATGAAATTGTAGTTTATTTATCTTTTAGATATTTGTTTTTTGGACAAATTGTGTTGTGTTACATCTGTTATGGGTGTTTATATTAAACATGCGTATCTTAACAAAAGGATTGAATTCGAATGCAATTTGTGGAAATGCGTACACACAACAGTAATTCCATGTAATTGTCTAAATCTTTACGACAAGAAAGAGGAAAAAAATGAGAGGATGAAAGCCCATATTCCAAGTAGTTGTATAAAGTTTTACAACAAATTTTCCAAAATGTAAGTACTACAGCATAAAAGTTATTTGCTTCAATCTAAAATTACTTTATATCATTATTAATCATTAAAAATATTGATAACATTAATTGTATTTCATAAACTTCTTAATTAAGTGAAATAATAAAGTCCAAAAAATGCATATTTAATTTACTGTCCAAAAACAACCAACGAAACATTCATAACTGAAAAATCTAACAACATTCAACCATATAAATAATACGTTAATATCTGGCTTACGGATTGAACCCAAAACCTTTAGCTCTCTAGATTCGGTAGTTTTCTTAGAACTTTTTTCTTAACGTTTTTTTGGTATTTTATGTAAATATAGAAATATAGTAGAAGACAAGACAAATGGACGACGGAAGCAGAAAGTTCACCATTATCGGGAATTGCAGTCGTCCTACTAATAATGGCGGTGAGCGGAGCAGTTGGTGTTGTTAAAATATACAACAAAGCCAACGAGACGGAGGAACACAAGGTTACAACCAGCAACAAGGCAGTAGAATCGCTTTGCCAACATACAGATTACAGGAAATCGTGTCGAAAGAGTCTTGCCAATGCAAACGACACAGATGAGCCTCAAGAGCTCATGAAGATAGCTTTCAATTCTGCGATAAATGAGATTGAGCACGCCATTAATAAGTCATCTACCCTTCAAGCAGTGGCCAAGGACCCTAGAGCTACTCAAGCATTACAGATGTGTAAATCGCTTCTCACTACCTCCATTGATGACCTCAAAAGATCGTTGAAAAAGCTTGACAACTTTGATATTTCAAAGACGGAGGAATACCTTGCAGACCTTAAGGTGTGGCTCAGTGGTTCTTTAACGTACCAAGAGACTTGTCTAGAAGGGTTCACGAACACGACTGGTGATGTTGGAGAGAAAATGAAGAAGATATTGAAATTGGGTGGGAAGCTCACGAGCAATAGTCTCGCGATGGTGAATAGTGTTGATGAATATCTTGGGGAGGTCCAGTTAACGTCCATGGGTAGCCGTAGGCTTCTGGATAAAGGTCTGAACGATGATCATCATGCATATGCATGGTGGAAGAAAGGCTATAAACGGTTGCTGCTTGATGTTGATTGGAAAACGTTGAAGCCTAATGTGATTGTGGCTCAGGATGGGTCTGGAACGTTTAAGACCATCATGGAAGCGATTAAGAAGGTTCCCAACAACAACACACAGCCATTTATTATACTGATCAAGCAAGGTGTTTACAAGGAGTATGTCGACATTCCTAGGCTTGTTAATAATGTCGTCTTCATCGGTGAAGGTCATAAAAATACTAGAATCATTGGAAACAAGAGTTACGACGATGGAGAAGCAACTTTTTACACCGCTACCGTTGGTAAGTCCAAAAACCATGGCTAAAACTGACAAACTTTGGTTTTTTCAAGATTTCATTATATATTGATAATTATTTATCAATGTTTGTTATTGAAATGAAAAAGCTGTGAATGGTGATGGGTTCATGGCGAAGGGAATAGGGTTTGAGAACACGGCGGGGCCAGTAAAGCATCAGGCGGTGGCCTTGCGTATCTCCGGCGATATGGCCATCATCCACAACTGCGCCATGTACGGATACCAAGACACCCTTTATGCCCACGCTTATCGCCAGTTTTATAGGCAATGCACCATCAAAGGAACAGTAGACTTCGTCTTTGGAAACGCAGCGGCTGTCTTCCAAGACTGCAAGATGATTGTCAGGAAGCCGCCACTTAACAACGACTGCGTTGTGACAGCTCAGGGGCGGAAGGACCGCAGCTCACAAGGTGGCCTGATTCTCCAAAACTGCACCATCACCGGCGATCAGGACTACTTGGCGACCAACCCAAGGCCAAGAACTTACCTCGGTCGTCCATGGAAATTGTACTCCAGAACCATCATCATGCAGTCATTCATCGACGGGATTATTGCCCCTCAAGGGTGGGCCCCGTGGGCCGGGACGTTCGGGCTTGATACATGTTATTATGGCGAGTTTAACAATAGAGGACCAGGGTCTAACACAAGCCACAGGGTAAGATGGAAGGGTATCAAGAAGATAACTCCGGAGGAGGCTGCTCGTTACACCCCGGGGAAATACATACAAGGAGATCTATGGATAAAGGCAACTGGTGTCCCTTATACTTCCGGCATGATGAATGTGTAATGTTGTAATTCGCTTCCCATTGTTATATCAATTAGAGATTGTAGCATTAGGTTTTGAGGAATAATCTGCCTTTAAATATTAAGTACAAAAGTAGATATACATCTAAGATTCCAATCCTAACTA